ACTCACACACTCACTCACTCACTCACTCACTCACTCACTCACACACACACACACACACTCACACACTCACTCACTCACACACACACACACACACACACACACACACACGCACACGCACACATACACACGCTGGAACACACACACACACACACTCTCTCTCACACACACACACACACACACACACACACACACGCACACGCACATATACACACGCTGGACCACACACACACACACACAAAGAAAAGGAAATAAACACACACTTAATCATTCTCTAGAGAAATAATGTGCTCTTCCACCACATGATATTAGACAATTACCCATTTCATAAAGGAACTACAATTTTTTTGTCATTTCATTTGAATATACATATTTGATACTTATATAAATATCATTATATTAAAAAAACGATATATAGTATGTATATATAGTGTATTGACACTACATTATATAAAACACTAGCATATGTTGATTAGTAGTAGTATTATTTAAATCATTTATATAAATATCTTTATATAAAAACTATACATAAACACATACATTGTTATTATTATTATTATTATTATTACTTAAGTATTTGATATGTATATGAATATCCTTATTTTAAAAACTATATACAACAATACTGTTATTCTTATTATTCTATATAACACAAAATTATAAAAAATATAATTATCACTATTTGTAGCAGTATCATTATAAATAATGGTATTTATATAAATACCTTTATATACAAACTATATATTATAATACTACATTATATAAAATACTAGAACAATATTATTAGTAGTAGTATTAGCATTATAAATAAGGATGTTTATATAAATATCTTTATATAAAACTATATACTATAATACTATTTTACTATATTATTTTGAGACTTGTATATTATATAAATATAAAATACATGCATTATTATTATTATTATTATTATTTTAATTTAGTAATGCAATAAAAAATGATATATGCCGTTCAAATTTAAAATACAATTCGACATCTTGTTTTCTCTCTCAGTATAAATCCAGGGACTGATCTGTGGAATATAAAAGTCTTTTTCTCAGTTCAGCTCTGAACGGCACACGATCCTGCTGCCAGGTTTGATCTTCCTTCCATTTTAATTATCAGTGACATTCTCGTCTCTCATCTAACGTCACATCCAGTTAGCGAGTCAGAGGTAGATGTAGTAATTTCCTCACTAGTTCTGACACATGGGCAAAAGAAGCGACTCTGAGACTTTAAGGCTGTGGTGGGACGGTCATCTACCGCGTGAACGCTGATTATGGGCCGCGTTGTCTGGAAGTGAAAGGAAACACTTCATTAATCCAGAGACAAAGCTGTGCACCGGTGCATTAACCCCAGACCGCTGCGGCCCGGTTTCAGACGCTGAGAAAGAGGCCGGCTGGATGGCCATCGAGAGGCTTTGGGAGGGGGACGTGACTCTGACCTCCTCCTCAAGTCAAAATGCAAATGCAAAGGCTGTTGGCGGTCAAGAGTTCACGGCTGGGGCCCAGCAGGAGCCCGAATGCGAGATTCTGTGTTTCTGAGTTTCACAGGCAACAACAGAAACATCCTGCTTCATTAACAAACATATTTCATCCAACCTGAAACGCTGGTATGGCTTCAGATGGGGAAAATCTCACAGGCTACGCAGATAACACGGATTAGCATCGTGTATCAAAATATATAGAAATTAATTAAATCATTTGCCAAATTATGTCAAATCATTTGGAAAAATAACAGAAAAACTCTTCTCAAAAAAAAAAATAATAATATATATATATATATATATATAAATAAATAAACATTTAATACCTTCTGAAGAAATTGTGTCAGACTTCAGGCTTCTATTAAAATAAATGAAATAATAAAACATTTAATAATTTGCCAAATGATGTCAGACTGCATATAAAAACAAAATAACTTTCCTCAACAAATAAAATAAAATTGTTTTTTATATATCTTATAAAAAAATTGTGTTAGACTCTTCTATTAAAATGAAATAAAATCAAATAAACAAAGTAAAATAAAATAGATAATTAGACAAATGAGGTCAGATCGCATAGAAAAATAACAGAACAACTGTACTGAACTGTGTGTGATTTGAAGAGTGATTCATAAATAAATCATAAAATAAAATGTTAAATAAAAAAATTTAAATCCCTAACCCTAACAGAAAATAACAACACACACGTGACCCCTTTATAAAAACTATTGCCAAGGTAATGTATGTTTTTATGCAAGTCTGTTTTATCATCCAGCAGCTGAAAACTGTAAGTCTGATCAATTTTAGAGCACGAGCACTAAAAAGCAATCCAATAAAACGCCACAAAGCAGGTGTTTCTTATTTGATACGCCTCCTGTAATTTCACTCGATTACTGAAAAACACAAAGCAGAACATTACGCGGTTTGCCTGTAGTTAACAACTCATAAACGCCATATTTAGGATCCCATTTCAATGAGACACTCTGACTTGTATCACAATATCCAAAAACCAGAGAATAAGGACTCAAACGCACCCATCACACAAGTTTAGCACATGTTTTACAGCACGTTTAGAAGTAAAAACCTAGACTGTGAGCACAAAGGAGTCTTGACAGAAACTCAAGGCCAACAGAATTCCTCCCAACGTTATAAAATGTCTAGACTGTCAAGTGAAAATGGAACATAAAAATCCCCCGTTCACGAAACGACGAGGCTCCCCTCTGCCAAGAGCCGGTTTCACATTGGCGGGTGTTTATTTGACTTGGCTGGATGAATCTCCACCATCAGTCTGTTAAAACCAAAAGCTGACGGACACAGAGCGAAACCCCCCGAGCCAAACGCAATACGATACACTCGTTTGAAAGAATACAAACGGCACGGGATCAAAAGTTAACAGAAAGAAAACAAATAATCTGAACATACAAGCGTGAGAGCCTTTATGGAGAGCCGTAGCGGATTCATGAGGTCATATTGAGCAATGCTTCAAGCACTATAAAATCAAAAGTCAGGTTTACAAGCGTGCTCTAAGATAACGGACTGCGGTGATCTGGCAAGAACCTGATCCTGTCTATAGTTTCACACGTGCTCGCCACAAACGGAGACTTCCTGCTGCTGCTGACGCAGTTTCACCCAGAAAACACACGGCTGGAGCATCTGTCAGGATCCCGCCATTTGGGCTCGACTGTCATCCCTCATCATTGACAGCTGATTGTTACACAGAGCAAAAGACCAAACGACGAGAGCACAGCTGCTCTTCATACAGCATCTGCACAAACTGGATACGCATCCATCCCACCAATCAAACGCTGTCATTTTCTATGTGTTCAGGTGTGGAGACACTGCAGGTTGGACATGTGAAATTATCCTGCAATGAATAAAAACAAGCATATAACAAGCACATGTTAAGTCTCTTGTCATAAAATCAAATCAAAATAAAATATAAAAACATTTTTCTTTAAACATTTTTTAAATCGGTTCTGAATGTTCTGAAGACAATGTGTCAGACTGTAGGTTTCTATTAAAATAAAACAAAATAGATAAATAAATAATAGCAAATCAAATAAAACAAAAGAAATAAATAAAAACACATTTAGTAAAATAATAAAACAAAACAAAATAAAATAAAAATGCATTTTTAATTCCTAAATTAAATTAAACCTTAGAGTCTGAGACATTTTCTTGAAAAAAAGGTACATTTTTTTATTATTTAATTTTATTTTTTTATTATTTAATTTTATTTTATTAGAAACCTAGAATATGACACATTTTCTTTAAAACATGTAAAATTGGTAACAAATAAAAACAATTTTATTTATTAAATAAATAATATAAAATAAAATAAAACAAAATAAATAATTAAAAACACATTTAGTAAAATAATAAAATAATTTGCCAAATTAAATCAGATCACATAGAAAAATACCAACTCTGCTTAACGAGTCGTGTGATTTGAAGAAAATAGTGTGGGACAAGTTACGTGTTGAAGTTTAATAATTGAGGTGTAGGTCCAAATATACTGTTCTAAATTAGTTCAATTTTCTATAGATTTCCTATTTATTTCCTTTATTTCTTTTCTGCCGAATAATTAAACCTGAAATAACATTTCTCTATGCATTTATTCCCAATTTACACTTGGCTAAAGAGTCAAAACTGCACTTATAAACCACACACGGGAATATCCTACAAGACCACGTCTCACCGAGACAAATGATGATTTATTTATCTCTCTCGTAAATGAGAGCACATAATTAAAACCACTGAATGGATTCTCTTAAATAAATACGATTAAGCAGAATGAGGTAAAGGGTCCTGCACGCTCAGAAGAGGCTTGGCTCGGGGTCATAATTACACGACCCACTGAAGGCCACTTTACTCCATAATGGCAGGCTAATTGATTCCTGCTAATATTTTCTGGATTCGGAGCTGCGTGATTCCTCCAGCAGGGCAGCGTGGAGCAGATAGCTTAGTGCCTTGGAGAAAAAGACATCCCTATCCTTGTTAGCATCCTTTTCTCTTTAACAAGCCTGGTTTCTCATTCCTC